CCACCATGCCCAGCTGATTTTTTGTATTTTTAGTAGAGACGGGGTTTCACCATGTTGACCAGGATGGTCTCGATCTCTTGACCTCGTGATCGACCCGCCTCGGTCTCCCAAAGTACTGGGATTACAGGCGTGAGCCACCGCGCCCGGCCCGATAATGCTCTTATTTAAGCATCAGAAACATCCTTCCCTCTCATGAAAACTCCTCTCTGAGTTCAACCTGCTCTGTGGAGTGAGCCCTCCTGACTCCCAGCCTTTCCTCTGAGGATGATGTTTCCATGACACAGTGTGATTCTTACCCAAGAGTAAGTACGAATCAGTGTTCCAACACAGTGAACCATTACAGCCCCCCAGACCTCGGCCATCCACCCACCCACAGCCTGAATAACCTGCTCTGAGCAGCCAGACTCACAGACCCAATAGCAGGAGGTGACAGCAGTCCCCTGAAGGAAGCTGTGATATCAAGGGAGACGTCGGTGGGTTAGTGTCTCCCATCATTCTCTCCAAGACATGGGAACAAAGCAAAAAAACACAGAGAACTGGATGTTCCGTCCCTGGGAAAGGACGCACAACCCTCTCACGCAAGGAGACTCAAGCTCATCAAAAAGCAAGGCACCCAAAGCATCCTGGCTTTCTCTGTGCCATTTCCTCCCTCACTTTGAGCCCCAGTTCCCAGCCCTGTCCCAGGAAAGGACCCACACCCCGACCCCGCACTGACCCGCAACTCCGTAGACACCCATCCCACCCTACCCTACGGCAGTCCCGAGTCGCCCCCACAGGTGCTTGCAGCTTCCTTCACCAAAACTTCACTGTAAGCTCAGCCCCGCGCACCCTCCCCACCAGCGATCCCAGCACAGAACTTCCCAGTGCCGAGGACCCGCGGAGCTGCCTGCTCCCTGAGGCACGGAAGGGGCGCCGGAGGCCCCCAGGCTTGCGGAAAACCCCGGCGCGAGCCTGCTCCCAGCTCGGAGCCTGGCTCTGCTCCCCAGCGGCGAGAGCCTGGCGAGAGCCTTGCTGCCCGGTGAGAACCCTGCAACCCCGAGCGGGACGCCGCCCTGAGCGCTGCAGCAAGGGGCGCAACACTCACACCCTAAGCGCCGAAGGGCGCGGGGGCTTTCCCACGCCAGGACAATTCCCACGGAAGTTGCAAAGGACTGACAGGGCATGCAGAGGAAGAACAGAGCGCGTGCAGAGGATATTCCGAGAAGGTTAGGGCCAACTACGGATCTCCAAGGTCTACGCACCCCCACAACAGGTAGCAGGGCCGGAGCCGGACCCGTGGCACTGCCAGGGAGTGCGGCGCAGCCCAGCAGGCAGTGGACGCGGGGCGCAAGACAGACGGGTCCCGGCAGCAAGAACCCGGGGCTTACCTTGAATTAATGCAGAGTCCCGCGCTCAGCTGAATGAAGAGGGTGTGCTAGTATTCCCGATACATCATCGAATTATTTTAAAAGAGCAAAGAGGTGGGGGAGGGAGGGCGAAGACGCGGGCGGAGAGATGGTGAAATTGAAGGAGGAAGGAGGAATCCACAGAAGGGACTGGGAAGGAAGGCAGGCGGAGGTGAGGGACAGAAACGGAGAACAAAATAAATAAAAGAGAAGAGAGACAATTAAAAAAAAAAAATCTGTCTCCTGCCCACACCGTGGAAAAGAAATTTCTGGCAATCAGTAAGAGAACTCGCATACATGCCCCCCGCAGAGACGGCAGACCTGGGGACTAACAAAGGAGGAGGGGAGAAGAGAGCTGCATCCAAACAGCAGAAGAGATCGCTGCCCAGACACACGGGCAGCACGCGAGAGGCGGCGAGGGAGCGGTAGGAGGGTGGGAGCAGGACGCCAGCGTGAGCGCGCACACCCGGGACTGGGGGCGGTGGGGAGGGCGCCGCCAGGCTTCATTTAGGTGGGGATTTGTGTTGTAAACCGCCTGAGATCAAGAAATTTAGGTCAGGGTTTCTGTGGAAAAGTTCAATAATCTCAAACTTCTGCGGGCGATTTCCACTCGAGAACACAATTCTCGTTTGTGGGCGGGATGGCCCCCTCCTGGGGTCCCACTCGGTAGACCTCACCAGGGTCCTGGCTGCTTGCTTGGCTGGGCAGGGAGAGGGAAAGCATGATTATATCTACAAAGAAGCAAGGGGGCCGTCCCTGCCTGTAATCCCAGCACTGTGGGAGGCCGAGGTGGGCGGGTCATTAGGTCCAGAGATTGAGACCATCCTGGCCAACATGGCGAAACCCCGTCTCTACTAAAAACACAAAAATTCGCTGGGCATGGTGGCCCGCATCCGTAGACCCAGCTATTTGGGAGGCTGAGGCAGGAGAATCGCTTGAGCCCGGGAGGCAGAGGCTGCAGTGAACCGAGATCGCGCCACTGCTCTCCAGCCTGGCGACAGAGCGACAGAGAAAACAAGCAAACAAACAAAAAGCAAGTGAACTGGGGGCTTCAAGAATCAAGTTAAGGGGGAAGGAGGGGCGTGCTGGATCAGCCAGAGCCAGATGCTTCCCAAGGAAAAGAGGCCCTAGCCTGATGCAGAGCCTCTTCGCTGCCTGTGGACTGAACCAGAGGCTCTCTGAAGGTCTCCAGGGACCAGCTGAGGGCTCTCAGGAGACACTGTTTCCTGGGGGCAGTTAAGGAGCACAAAAAATCAACAGCCCCCAAACTGAGTCAAACTGGAGCTTCCAAGGCTTCCTAGACCGGAATCCCTCTAGGGTATCCTCTCCCCCATATGGCTCTCTGCATATCTTTTCCTCAAAAATAATAGAAAAGTATCCCAGAACCCTACAGGTGATGACGTTCCGTCCCACCCAACCATCTTAACACTTAACTCCCAGTGGGGTCCCTGGGGGGGTTCTGACAGGTGGCTTTATAAACAACTGCCTCCTCTCCCCCAGGAGCTGAGTCAGAGAAAAGAGGGGCTCCAGAAAAAGAAGAGGAGCCCGTGGGATTGGAAGGGACAAGAAGAGAAGGGAGCCGCAGGGAAGGAGGAGGGAGGGAAAGGGGAGCGTTCTTTCTCTCTCCACTTTTTTTTTTTTCTCTTTTTTTTTTTTTTTTTTTTTTTTTTTTTT